TACCATAATATCGATCGACACTCATTCCTTGTTTACATACGACAGATGGAACAAACACTTAGTCATCTGATTAGACTCACACTGATAGCTGGATATCTTGATTTAGTATTCGAGTTTTAGGACGGTTTACCACACATCCTTAGCACCTATATATCACAGTACTATGACATGAAACTCTAGATTTAACTATTTATTCTCATAGTTTACAAACCAACTGCTTAATCAATATTACTATTTGCTGCTTTATAATTACTTTTTAGTTTAATCTTAATATATTAATAAGTCTATTGTGTGTACACTTTCCCTGTAGATATAATTTGTAGGTACTACAAATAAACCACTTATTTGAGAGTCTTATTGATATGATAATTTCAATGATATCAATGTTAAACTATATGATGGTCAAATCATATTTGAAATATATTTTATGTTCATTTTTATAAAATTAATTAATGTATATAAATATATATTAATTATTGATAATTAATGTAAAATCATTTATTCATTTAGACACCATTTAGTTTCTTAGGGCCTGACTGGTGTAACTACAACGGTTACTGGCGTTTGTGGATCTGGGAGATTGCAATTTTAAGCGTTATTAAGAGATTTGAACGACTGGTACAACAATTAAAAATTGTTATGTTTGTGGAATACTTATAACTTGTTAACTAACAAATGCATGACTGGTTAAATAATAAATTAACAATTATTTCATTTTATATAATTATTAAAATATTAAAATCATATTTTATAATAAATAGAAAAATTATATTCATAAAAGTTATACTATTTTTTTGAATTTTTATAATATATATATATTGGTATTTTTATTATTGTAATTTAAAACTTTCATTGAATATTTTATTATTATATTTATATTGGCTGGTATAAGTAGACGACTAGGTGTTGTGCCCGCATATGCGGGCATAATTTTCTTACAAATATTTATTAATTTATTAATTTTAAAATAATATTATAAGTTATTTTTATAGTTTAAAAAAACCTAAATCAAACATTAAAATATTTTTATATGAATTTTCATCAAAATCCATATGCTTATTATAGTGTTGAAAGACATCCACATAATAAAATATTTTGAAAATATATTTATATTTTTTCTTAATATTTAATTTTAAATTGTTTTATAACAAAATTTTTCTTTTTCATAATAAAAAATATTATTTCCAGATAATTGTATAATATTCTCTAAGATATCTCTATAATATTATTTGAGAAGTCAGTTTCCTACATGTCGCGCTCACGATGGTTGATTACATAGATACCCTTAATGAAATAAAAATATTAAATGTTAATAATGTATTTCCTTTTTCATAATAAGATTTTACTTAATTGTTGTAATTTAAGTTTACTTTTTTAAAGCACATAAATAAAAAAGGAAATGTTTATGAAATATTTATCTTTATATATAAACGAAATTTAGTTACATTTTTGAAATTTTCCTAAAATAACATATTTAGTGTTTATTTAAGAGATATTAAAAAGGAAATTAAAACTTTTTGTTACAAAAATAAATAATTTGATAAAATAATTTCAAAATTCTTTTAAATAGTGTAGCACTATACACTATTAATGAAATAGAAATATTATATTTTATCATTATTAAAAATTCTTTTTAATATTTAGTTTGCTTTTTATTTTTATGTTTTGTATGTTTGTGGAACTTAATATATAAATAATCAAAATACTCAAGTAAATCTAAATTCTCATTTTTAAGATTTTTTAAAATACGTTTCAGTTTACCTTTTAAGAAATCCAAGACATAAAATAATTTAGAATTTATAAATATTTAATTATTGTAAATATTAATATGTGCTCATGAAATTTTAAAAATTTACCTTTATACACATATTTATGTATGTAAATTCCTATTGATCGTCACTTTATTTTTTAATATATCTTTAAAATCAACATATATCCAATTATTTAAAATATTATAAAAATATTTGTAAGCGATAAATAAAACTAATTTGATTTGATTTAATTAGAATAAAAAAGATTTATATTTTAATTTGAATTAGAAAAAATATATAACTTAATATACTCACAAAACGAGTAACGGAACACATCTAACTTATACCCAAAATAAAAGATCTAACTACAACAAGAACATAGAATTTAAGAAAAATTATTTATTTATTTTTATACATATAGATTACATGATGACTCAAAAATATCAATATAGAAAAAAGATTATTAACCAACTGTTATAATTTAGTTTTTTGTAAAATTTATATATATGAATGAGACTTCAGAATATTATCGTTATATTCATTTATGTAATTTTGAGTCAAAATTTCAGTTTATTTTTAATTTTGTTATAAGCATGATATATATTAAGTTATACATAATCTTACTAAAATATATTTACATATTTAAGACGATAACTAATCTAAATGCAATAATAATCAAAGTTTTACTATATTTAGAAGAAAAATATTATAGTTGAATTCAGAAAAAAAAATGTAATCTAAAATACACAAGTATAACCAAATCGACTATTGACTAAAAAAACAACCAAACCGATTATATATAACATCTCCCAAATCATATGTCTAATTAAATAATATAATATTATTAATATAAGTTATACGTATAAATTATAAATTAATTTATAATTAAAAGTAAACATCTATCTAAATTAATAAATTAGAATATATTACCATATATTACCTTGATAAATATTCATACCCGTGCATGAGCACGGGTATGAATATATAAATTTCATTAAAGGTATCATTAACTTGATCAACCGTTCCAATTTTTACTATCTAATATTTAATTATATAAATAAAATTATCTTTCTAGAAATATTTTTGTTTGATTAATATTTAATTATATATCAATTTTTATATTTTAATTATTAAATTTTATAATAGAATCAATTTTAATTTTTAATTTTAGTTTTGAAATTTTAATTTTTAAATTTTAATTTTTAAATTTTATAATAGAATGATATCATTTTCAAAAGCCAAAGTCAATTATATGTAAAATTAAGATATATAAGCGTTATCATGTTGTTACAATATTATATTCAGATGATAATAACATATATAAGAATTATCTTATTTTTGATTTTTTATAAATTTATTATATTAATTATTCTAAGTTATCTAAGATAATAACATACTAATCTAATTTTATTTTTTAAATTTCGTTTTTAATTGTAAAATTAGTTATATATAAAAGTTTCATTAAGGGTATAATCGATATTAACCACTCCAACTTTTAACATGAGAGCTCCATTGCGAAAAATTACTTCGCAAATAATAGTATAGATTTTAAATTTTAATNTTATTTTCAAAAGCCAAAATCAATTATATATAAAATTAAGATATATAAGTGTTATCATGTTGTTACAATATTATATTCAGATGATAATAACATATATAAGAATTATCTTGTTTTTGATTTTTTTATAAACTTATTATATTAATTATTCTAAGTTATCTAAGATAATAACATACTAATCTAATTTTATTTTTTAAATTTCGTTTTTAATTGTAAAATTAGTTATATATAAAAGTTTCATTAAGGGTATAATCGATATTAACCACTACAACTTTTAACGTGAGAGCTCCATTGCGAAAAATTACTTCGCAAATAATAGTATAGATTAATTATTCTAAGTTATCTAAGATAATAACATACTAATCTAATTTTATTTTTTAAATTTCGTTTTTAATTGTAAAATTAGTTATATATAAAAGTTTCATTAAGGGTATAATCGATATTAACCACTCCAACTTTTAACATGAGAGCTCCATTGCGAAAAATTACTTCGCAAATAATAGTATAGATTTTAAATTTTAAT